CCCCCCCCCCGCCCCTCCTCAGGCTTCGCTCTTCCCTTCGGTAACCTAGTTTTTGCCTACTCAGCCGCCAACTATCAGGAGTAAATCTCCAGCGGCGGGGAGGGGCACGACACACATTGCTGCCAAACCAGACGCGGCTGCTCATCCTCCCGGTTGAACAAGTGCCTGACATCACTTCCTCCGCCTTGAAACGCCTGCGAGGAGGAGGAGGAGGAGGAAGAGGAGGGAGGGAGGGAGGGAGGAAGGCACCCATCCGGAAGCCACTCCCCAGTTAATACAGGTTTCCCCCACAGCCTGGAGGAGGTAAACTCAGCACCACTAAGGGCAGGAGGGCAAGGCAAGCAGCCAGCACCCACCCACCCACCCACCCTTCCTTCCTTCCTTCCTTCCAGCTCTTTTATTCTGTATTTTCCTTTCTTTCCTTCCTTCCCATCTGTCACTTCTTTCCTTCCTTCCTTCCTTTCCATGTATCACATCTTTCCTTCCTTCCTTCCCTCCCTCCCTCCTTCCTTCCTTCCAACTCTTTTATTCTGTCTGTCTTTCTTTCCTTCCTTTCCATCTATCACTTCTTTCCTTCCTTCCTTCCTTTCCATCTATCACTTCTTTCCTTCCTTCCTTCCTTTCCATCTATCACATCTTTCGTTCCTTCCTTCCTTCCTTCCTTCCTTCTCTGTTATTCCCTAAGGAACCTTCCAACTCTTTTATTCTGTATTTCTTTCTTTCCTTCCTTCCCATCTATCACATCTTTCGTTCCTTTCTTCCTTCCTTCCCTCCCTCCCTTCCCTTCTAGTACTGATGATGTTACATAGTTGGGTCATGAAACGTCTGCAAGAAAACCACCAAACTCAGAGCTAACAAGGACCCCCACAGTCCTCCTTTCCTCCTCCTCCACCTCCTCTCCCTTCTAGCACTGATGATGTTACGTAGTTGGGTCATGAAACGTCTGCAAGGAAACCCCCAAGCTCAGAAACCACCGAGAACCCCTCAAATTGAGGCCGCTGGTAAAAAACAAAAAACACACATCAAACCTTTTACCATCCGGCGTTATTGTTCATTGAACCGTGAAAGGAACATTCCCGCCTTCCGCCCTGCGAAGGAGCTGGGTGCGGCCCGAACACAATTCAGCCAAAAACCAGTTAAAATCCATAACTGACCTCCTATAGTGGGCCAGTCGGCCCCTATAGAAAACCAGAGCGTGGTGGTGGTGGTTTTTTTTTGTTTTTTTTCAGGTGACGTACAAGTGGAACCCCAAGAGGCAGGCCTCCATTTTACAACGCTTCGTTTAGTGACCAAAGTTAACAGCTCAAACACCCGGCTCTTCCCGACTTTAGTCCGGTTCCCACCCACCCACCCAAAAAAACCAAAACACTTTTGCAAAAGTTTGCTAAACTTTGAGGCTTTTAAAAAGGGTGCTCCATTCTCCCCGGCGCTGAATAGTAAAATGCTAAAAATATGTGGTTGTGTTTTTTTTTGGTTTTGTTTTGGTTTTCAGATATAAAATTGTGGGTGAGTCAGAGGTGAGTCTTCCTCGGTGCCCCCATTTCCCTCCCAAAGTAAAAATACCGGAATTTCACAGCCGGATGAATAGACTATACAATCACAGGATGTTATGACCGAGTCATCCCGGCTTCCTCCTGCTCAGCTGGAAGGAGATAGGATTCGGTGTAAGGGTCAGGGACTAATCAGAATAGAAGCTGGAAGGGGCCTCGGAGGTCCTCTAGTCCAACCCCCCGCTCCAGCAGGAGACCATAGACCGTTTCAGTCAATCAATCAGCAGGGCGTTGGACTAGAGGACCTCCGAGGTCCCTTCCAGCTCTGATCGATTGGTTGAAATGGCCTAAGATCTCCTGCTCGAGCAGGGCGTGGGACTAGATGACCTCTAAGGTCCCTTCCAGCTCTATATTCTGCTTGATAAATCTCCTGGGAGGTCCCATAAGGCGGTTTCTCGCCTTGACCAAAGATGAAGGATATACCCAACTGGGGTACCTGGGTCAAACAAGGAACCCATTCCCACAACCAAGAGACTTTGGGGTGGGTGGGGGCGTCATGGGCTCAGGGTCTTAAAGAGGCCCATCTACGTTGTGTGGGGGGTCTTCCAAGAGAGGGAAACTGAGGCACGTTATGGGTGGGTGGGGGGGAAATAATGGTGCCCTGTGGAGATCTATAGAGAAAGCTTCACATCGCAAATGGATGCGGGTGCCAGTCGATTTCTAGAGCCACTTTTCTCCACCTGGGGGCCACTTTGGAGAGGTCTGGACTTCGACTCCCAGAATCCCCCCCCAGGCGGCGCCCGCTGGGCTGGGGAATTCTGGGGAGTGGGGATCCAGACGCCTCTTAAACCTTCGACATACAGGCTGGGAACGGCGAGAAGAGCTTCCGTTTCGAGCAACTGGAAATTTCCAGAGAGAGGAAAAGCCAAGCGAACCCGTGCAGGAAGCAATTCTGAACTGGAAGAGGGGAGGGGGGAAAAAAGGAGACCAAGAAGTAACATTTGGAGGGGGGAGAGGGAAAGAACTGTAAACAAAATTTCAGGCATCGCCCCCCCCTGCCCCCACCCACCCGGTTCAGATGATGCCTGGACCGGGAACTCTTGAGGCTATTCAAACTCCATCTTCCTATTTGTGGGTTTTTACAGGGCTGTTGCAAAGACTACAGCTTGTTCAAGGCGTCACACAACGCACAGGGTCCTCTGAGCTTGCTTGTTTTCTTGCAGACGTTGCACGACCCAACTAGCTTACATCATCCTTGCTAGAAGGGAGTGGGGATTGCAGGGGGGGGGGGGCAAGAGGAGGAGGAGGATTGTGGGGTCCTTAATACTCTCCTTGGTAGTTTTCTTGCAGATTGTTCATTATCTTAACTAGGTAACTTCATCAGTTCTCCTCTTTCTCCTTGCAAAACCCATCTTAGTACTGATGATGTTCCCTAGTTGGGTCATGAAACGTCTGCAAGGAAACCACCAAACTCAGAACTAACAAGGACCCCACAGTCCTCTCCTTCCTTCCTTCCTTCCTTCCTTCCTTCCTTCCTTCCTTCCTTCCTTCCTTCCTTTCCTTGCTTCCTTCCTTCCTTCCTCCTCCTCTCCCTTCTAGTACTGATGATGTTCCCTAGTTGGGTCATGAAACATCTGCAAGATTGAGCTCAGAGAGCACCAAGGATCCCACAATCCTCCTCTCCTCCTTCCTTCCCCCCTTTCCTCCTCCTCCTCCTTCTCACTTCTAGCACTGATGATGTTAGGTAGTTGGGTCACGAAACGTCTGCAAGAAAAGAACCAAGCTCAGAGCGCATCAAGTCCTCCTTCCCCGGCTCCTTCCCTCTTCTTCCCTTCATTCTTTTCCCTCCTCTTCCTCCTCCTCCTCCTCCTCCTCCTCCTCTGCAAACCCCACTCCCTTCCGGCACTGATGACGT